TATGATGACGCGCGTTTCGCTAAACAAAAAGAAGCTATAGGAACATATTGCCTGCTTTGACTACTAAATAATTTCCAGACTTAACATACTTACTGCGTATAGTCGGTTTTTTAGAATTCTTCAGATCCCTACGAGGATCCTTTACGTTTGCCCTGTCTCATTGAAACTAACTCGTTTATCGTGTGTAAATATTGTCGTGTTGGCGGGAAAAGGATAAACTTTTTTCACGAACAACAAACAGTAATTAACGCAAAAAAAAGTATAAAAGAACCTGAATTTTGGTTTTGATGAATGACAATGCAAAGGAGAACATAGAAATGAAAGGAATTATAGTTATTTGCCTCCTAACCTCTTGAATTAACTAACGAAGTCCATTTCCAAAAATAATGATAATAATAATAATGGTAATAGTTACAGTAATTTTTAATATTATTTTTTCTTTTCAAAAAAGTCGACACTTTTTCAGGCACAAAAACCTCCGATATCGTCGATGCTTTGTTTTTATAACCATGTTTGCTGTAGTTTTTTGTGATTCTGTTTCTATATAATACGTGTGAAAATAAAAATATTTAACAAAAAGCCATTGGGATCCATTGGCGACTATTCCGCCCGGATCAAAAAGCGCTTTCATTTTTATTTGCAAAAAAGGGCTGTTGTTGTTGTTTGAAGCAGTGGGTTTGACTGAAATTATAGTTATTTTGCCATATTTATTACACCATATCGAGTTAAAAGGCTTAAGTCACCTATTTAACAAATTCACACGATTCAGTTTCCGTATTTATCGGTGGAGTGCATCATATCTACTTTGATTTTTAGAGCAGTTCCACACGCGTACGTCAGTCAGGCTTTCCTTACGAACTCTATTTAATCTTAAGGAAGCAGAGAATTAATTCTTTGGCGATTGCCAGCTGGCAGCGAAAAAAAAAACCGCATTTTTTTTTAACGAATCCTCCCTTTTTGACCCTTTTTTCGCCAACATGTACATAGCTAAATATGAGATCTGCGACACTAAGGGCATATTAATTTTTCTGCTTATTGGAAGAAACCATCTTACTCTCTTTCTATTTTTTTTTTTTTTGCATTTCTTTTTTTATATCTAGAGCTGCTTCCCCATTTTTCGTCTTTCTTTTCTATGGCATTGTAGTCAGTGACTAACTTTCCAGAAGAGAAGGAAAGTAACTTGGAATGAGTAGCAGACATAACCAGTTTGGCAGTAGATTGTTCCCAAAAATATTAGTACAATTTTTTAGTGTGTTGTTACTCTTGCAGGATTGGTCAGAATTTTCAAAACAAGGTTCTTGTGCCATTTTTTGTGTTTTACTCTTGAAATTCGAAACGAAAGACGGATATAACTGACAAATCATTCGTGTTAAAATCGAAGTTAAAGTGGACATGATACTAGACGATTGGATCGTTTTTCCTTTGCATGAGGATTTTTTTTTTTTTTAATTTTCCCTCAGTTATCGGGGAAGTCTTATTTCATTAACTTATGCCGACTGAGGTACATACGTTTAAATGAATTGTTACGTCAGTTTGAGGGATGTTAAAGTTATTTGGGAAACTTTCCCGGCGCTGGACAGACAGCACCGCCACAATTGGGCCACGGACTAGGTGTTTTATGTTTCATTGTTCGACTGCTCGTACGATTTTTCAGACTTTACAGGTCAATAATCTTTCTTTTTTCTCCCCTTGATTTTTAGGCTACAAAGTTTAACATCGCTCGCTCAGATTTCAACAATCATGTTATCGAAATACAATAGTGCTAATTAGTCCCTGTTTGTCCTTCCGCTCCTATAACATTAAACGAAAGCATAAGTAACATAAAGCAAATCAATGTTCAAACGATTTTAACAATTCCTGGATAACTAGTATAAAATCACATTTTATCTTAGCCAATTTGTCTGTCCTTTTTAATTTTGACTGACGCCGAACGCCGTCAATTCTGATTTAATAACTCTTGTTTAGTTTGAATGTCCTTTCTTTAATTGGCAGTCTATTTAAGTTTTGCTCTGAATATCCTTCAAGACATTAGACTAGACTGCCAAGCGTCCTTTAAAAGTGTGATTTTCTTTCTCTGTATTCATATAGTTATAAGATTTGTGATAAATTTCGCACTCTAAAAGGGAATGATTTTAATTCTTTCCCAGGCCGGTATCCGAAAATAGTTCTTTTACGAAATATTTTAATCGTAAGGCAAGCTTTTCACTGGGGCTTATCTTTTTCAAAGTCTTCAAAGCGCGCCCCTTTGTGAGGGATAAATGAAGGAACTTATGTATGGAAAATTTAGCGTTTCACGATTCTATGGGCTATATAATTGAAAGGAATTGACTGTGTGAGAGATTTTGCATGTACAGTAAATAATATTGGGCATTAAACTCTGAGAAATTTGTGGCAACATAATTCAACTCATAATTCATGCAAGGCTTTAAAACAAAAGTAATAAAACGACCCTCCCAAGTTCTCCAAGTAAAATCTGGGTTTTGCTGCAGCAACATCCCGGCACTGGATCCACAAGAGAAATTTAGGAAACCCGGCTTTGAACGGTTAACAATTTTTGTATTGATGCCACAGGATACCCACACAGGGGATGGAGGATTCTCCCTCCCCCGACACGTATATTACTGATTTCGTTAAGGTTTAAGCTCAATGGCACCGACGTTGTCAAACGATTTGCAAAGAAGGTACACTTTTATTCATGAATTGGCTTTTCAAGTGTTGCGAACTTGCTGTTGTTATGGTAAATATATTTCTTCCAAAACACCAAAATCTTCACGCCACATTGCCTAAGTGTAGACGCACCCTCTCCTGCCGACAAAGGAAAAACGGAGGGGAGTGCCTCAAGTTGTTTCTATGGTAATACCGCTGGTTGAAAATACAATAGTCTCAAACGAAAAGGCCGAAGGTAAAGCAACCAAGCGAAGTACCAAGGGAAGGATCCGAGATTTGGGCAAATCTGGCGGCTGTCTTTTCCACATCAGCACAAAATGTCTCTTTTTGCGTGTACGAACTGTAACGGCCGGCATCCATTTGATCAACTCTCCAAGGGTGATCAACTTTGTAAGGTAAATGATGTATTGCGAACGTTTTGGCGATTGGAGTAAAAATTCTATAATGTATCCGGTTTAAGATGGAGTGCCCATATACGAATTACACGCATTATTTTGAACAGATTGGGTTACATGCTTTTGTGGTGTAACTTTTGCAGAAAAATATTACCTTGTGCTCCTTTTCTACATGTGGTCATAAACAGCTGAAAAAAGTTGTTGTTACATCCGTTCTTGCACACGCGGGGTATTTTGAATTCTGTTTTATTGGCCAGGAGATTTGAAAAGTACGGTAGTCTCGTGAAATTAGAAATAGTTGATGCCAGATTCTTTACAGTTGATGGCAGGCGTACATTGTACTAAGTCCGCCCTAATACCTTGTCTTGAACGTCTGAAACGGAACTCTGTGATAGTTTAAAATAAATGAAGTTGCCTGAGGATCCCTAGTACTGTCCGGCATCCTTGTATTTCAACACGTATTGGGGGTCCATCAAGTGAGAGTTGACTAAATTGCATGATTTTTGGGCTTTTGACCACAGTGAATACGTGCGTGAGTGCCTCATTGGAGAGTGGAAAACTTGATAAATAATTAGTAATTACTTTCTTTCAGTCTCTTAACTCAAGGGTGATTAAAAAAAAAAAAAAAAACTTGTGACCGAAACACCCAACAACCATGAACAGCTCAAATGTTTCAGGAATGCTTATTGTGTTATGAGTACACTCAACTCTCTGTTAAGAGACTCCTCTGTGAGATGAAAAATAACAGTCGCCTGGAGTTGGTCCCTGCCTTTCTTTACTCCTTTTGGTTTACTCTATAAGATGGACGTCTCTCTAATGTGGAGACATACAGTGGAACCCCGTTAATACGGTCACCAATGGGCCAAAAAGATTTGGCCGTATTAACTCGGTGGCCAAATAAAGTGGCCGTAATAACAAGGAGACCGTATAAGCAAGGTGGTCATAAGACAGGGTTTCACTGTAGTGCTGGTCCCAAAGGTGTCTGTCTTAGAGATATTTGATGATTATTACTACTTGCTAGTGTCTAAAGTTGATTTGTTTTCTTATAGGACTGCCGCAAGACTTATCCCTTAGTGACATGTACTTACTGTCGCTTGGAGTTTCATCTGTTAAAGTCAGACATTTTACTTGATGATGAATAAGTCATAAACTTGCTGTTTTCTCATTTTTTATGTTTTATTAATTTCCAGTTGACTTAAGACTTGCAGTTCCATGATGTGATTTTTTTCTGCTTTGTGTATTCTAGGAGTACTGAAAAGGACCCTGTGTGTAAGAAGTGCAGTTATAATCTCAAAATGTTTGGCCAGGTATGAGAATATTGGCCAGTTAGTAGTACTGAGTTGAACCTCCATTAAGCGGGGCACCAGCAAGTGGCTGATTTAGGTGGCTTGACACAGTACATCTTCCATCTTTGAATCTCTTATACCAAAACAAATTGATCTTTATTATAAAAACATTATAACACATGTATTACACATGGACTAAACTTTATTATGATATAAATTTTTTGGGAGATCAGAATATATATCATGTGACAATGACGTCACAATAGTTTAAGCTCTAAATCGAATTACGGCCCTTATCAGCATTTTCTTTGGAAATGCTTTCTGCTACGTATTCTTGGGGTGCTTGTCATCTGTTGTGTGAAGTTTCACAAAAATCTATTAGAGGAATTTCATCAATTCGAGACATCTTTGAATTCCTACAAAAAGGTTATAAATTATGCTTGAACTTAAGCTGGACTTAATGCAGACAAATTTGCAACCTTTTTGGAGGTTTCCAAAAAATTTTTATCACTCATTCATTTTGCAAATGACGTTTATACACTCTACAACTGGCTGAGCGCAAGTAGACTTGCACGATTTCTTAAAAACATGAAAACATGTGAATCAGTCAAATGCAATGCTGAGCTCTTTTTGTAATTTCAAAGGTTGAAAACAGCAATTCGACCAAAATAAATAAATAGCAATTGATCAGTTTGCTATAAAATCCCTGTATTTCGTGTCCATTGAAAACTTTTTAAATTGTCTAATGTAGGCGCAAAACTGAGTAAACATTGAAGCGATGTCATAGATCTGGCTAGGTTTTTGCTTTGGGATTTTCTATTGTCTCGAGTTTAGCACAACATCAAATCCCCATCCAGCAGGCAAGAATTTACTGTGCCTGGTTGCCCTCTGAAATCTTTCGGAAATATGGTAATACTGTAGAAAGAGAGAAAACAATAACGAATAGATTACGGAGGAAATGAATGCAGCAATAATGCCCTGTGAACAAAGCAGTCTTTTTTGGCATCCCAAATTTTTTATTTTGGTGAGAAGAAGACAAGAATAATATAATGTTGTTTTCCATTAGACTATAGACTGGCTCAGACAATCACAAAAAAGTTTTTATTGACTTAAAAAATTGAGTCATGAAGTGTGATAACCACCAATTGTTGGGAATATGATGGAACATTAATAAAGATTAATATTATCTAGGAATCTTTGTTATAGCATACTAATACATAAAATAATCATAAAACTCTGAGATATCCAGAACAATGTAGGTAGCACTACATTAATGTTACAATTAAAATTAATGTTAAAATTTTTTGACCTAGGTCAGTTCTCAATTTCCTTTGTCCCTTAGGGCTAGGAGACAAAGGAAATTGACAATCAATCTAGGTTAAATCAAAATTAGGCAGTGTTTTGGTGTGTTTTCCTCTTGTGGTTCATGAAATAAGAGATGAGGCCGTGCAAAAGTTGAACTGAGGCTAGACAAGAAAAATAGAGGGTGAGAGGAAGAAGAAAGAGAACAACAACAACAAAAAAAACACGTACATGTGCATTTGTTCTCCTCCCCCTCCCCTCTCATTTTCTTGCTTCACCTTGCTCAGCTCAAGGAAAATACACACCAAAAAAGGACCTGGTAGGCAAGTTATGGTGACTATTAATAGGTATGTCACTTTGTATGTTGCACACAGCTTTATGGCCATAATGTGGAGAGGTTATTTTAGCAGCTGGGATGCACTTGAAAATGAGGTTAACGAAAACAAGAGTGGATCTATCTGTATAATTACCGTCTGTTAGGGTACAAAATATGTGCCCACGATAATTGGGAGGGTTTGACTGCACATTATTATGTACATGTACAGACTGCAGATGTCATGTCTGCATCCTGTGAATAATTATGATTTACATTATTTTAATTCTTATTATCTCTGTCACCAGCCATCTTGTTGCGAGTACTGTAACATAAGAGCAGCTTTTGATGGAAACAAATGTTCAAGGCAAGTGTACATGTACATGTCAACTTTACAGCCTGTGAAAACCCTTTTACCTGCAGCTCATGGTTCCACTTGAGTTTTGTACATTTTGTTATCATTTCTTAGATGTTTAACCCATTTGTTCCTAAGTCACCTGTAACTGTCCATGCAGATTTATATCCCTTCTACCACTAGTGTCATCAGCTCTAATGGTCAAGGACAACTTTGTCCGCTAACTTGTGCAGAGGGAAAAGGTCTTTTAAACCATACCAGAATTAGCACAATTCAGTCAAGGACACTGGAGAAAAAGGCATAAAACCATAAAACATTGACCCGAAAATTTGCATGAAAATCTTTTTCCACTACCCACCTACCTTTTCTTTTATCTGATGCTAATATCTTAAAAGCTTTCCTAAAAACTTTTCCTACCAAAATGAAGCCTACTAAATACCCAGCAAAAGGAAAAAATATGAGGCAGAAAAAGCGAAAAAGGACGAGAGGAGAGAAAGCGAAAAGTAAAAGTCAAGACTGCTGTGTCACTTTTAAACACCAAAACTCGAAATTTTGCTTTCTGCACATGCCCGAACTTTGCAAGCTAATATTTTACATCTGGATCAGAAGGCCTTGAACTGTATGACCTGTAAATGGCTTTATGGTAAGTTTTAGCTCTTTATAGCATGACAGTCGCCCGAAAACCGCTCGACCAGCTTCATAACACATTTTTTCAGCAAAATTTCCATGCCAATTGGGCAAATGAGTTAAGAGTATTAGAAATGGACATTGCCTAGTTTATTTTGTCGCCTGGTGTCGGGCACAGCCCAGCTCCAGGCCAGTCCGGTGCCCAAAAATGTAGGGGGCTTGACTTCTTAGTCGGTACATCTGGATAGCCCAGGGGCTGCCCTAACAGTGGGTGGGTAGATAAGGCCTTGGGGTCAAAACTAGTGGGGTAGGGAGGGGGCTGTTTTCACACAACCCCTTCAGTAAGCAACAGTGTTCAGTGCAGGGTTTGACTGGCAAGTATCTTGGTCTTAATTTGCCCTAGCCACCTGAAACAGGCCTGTGCTAAGAATGATTATCATGATAATTGCAGAGCTCAGTGGGAGGTGCAGACAGTCACCCATTGTCGTAGGTGGGGAAGGTCAAAGTGTTGGTACCAAGGACGCACTTAGCATAGGACCTTTAGAAACTCACTGA